TTTTAAAGGTGATTGCATACTATAAAGCAAGAAAATGTGTAAATAAGGCAAATTTGGGCTCAAACTCTAGTTTTACTGTATTTTAATTCTATATTTTTGAGTTTTAACACCATTTTTTCTTAACTATAAAATGGGATCATAACACCTACCTTCAAGATTATTGTGATCTTCACATTACCAGAAAATTTGAAACTGCCTCCAATAGCAAATGCAAATTCTCAGTTCTTATTTAAGTTTTTCTTTTACTTATTTACTTTTTATTTTGAGACAGAATCTAAGTCACTAAGTTGATTGAAATGCAATCCTGCTGTTTCAATCTTCCAGCGTGGTGCGGTTATAGACATGGCCACCACAGCTGTCTGCAAAAACAGGCTTTTAAACAAATCGACCCAGGGTATCAGTAAATTACAAAAAGGACTACTGGGACACACATTTCAGATTTACTGCAGACATCTAAACTTGAGCCAAGTGGGTCATTCATATGACAATCACATATGTACTTGCAAATGCACATTGCTTTTCGCTATTTTTTTAAAATTTTACTTTAAAAATAAGAGGAGGAAAACATAAACAGACAGACAACCTTTTACAAAATAGCAAAAGAACAATACAGACAATACAGAGTTACAAACAAAGTGGTAGGAAATTAACAATGCTTCTTATATTACATATTGATATCCTCATAGTGGTTTCTCTTGAAAACAGATAGACACACAATATTGATCAATCAAGGACTCATTAACAGTTTCTTTCAGCAAAGAAATAGAAGACAGTAGATCAACTATGTTAACTATCCTGTATATACATACATACAAAATTTCTCCTTCTTTCCCTTCTCTTTTCCCACATTCCCGTTGCCCTTTTCCCTTAAGCATTTCCTTATCATTTCACAATGTCTATCATACCTCTGAGTTTAAATTAACTTTTTTAGGTTTTACACTAGTGAGACAATGTGGTGCTTGCACATGCAGGTCTGATTTATTTCACTTATGAGTATAGTCTCTAGTTGTGACCACTTACCTCTAAAAGCCTCAAGTTTATCTTTCTTTATAGCTGAGTAATATTCCATTATATAAAAGGACCACAATTTTCTTATCCAATCCTCGGTGGATTGACATTTGTGTTGCTTGCACAATTTAGCAATTACAAATTATGCTGCTATGAACATAGGTGCACATATATTGATTTGATATGATATTTTTAGATCATCTTGGAAAATACCCAGAAGGGGAATAGCTGGGTTGAATGGGACCTCTAGACCTAGTTTTCTGAGGAATCTCCAAACAGATTTCCACAGTGGTTTCACCAGTCTGCATTCCCACCAGCAGTGGAGAAGGGTTCCTATTTCTTCACAGCTTCGCCAGCATTTGTTATTGGTTGATTTCTTAATGCTAGCCACTCTTACTGGGGTAAGATGGAATCTCAGTGTTGTTTTAATTTGCATTTCTCGAATGACTAATGATGTCTATTGTTGATCAATTCCTCTATATTTTTGGTAAAACCCTCAGACCAAAAGGGCTAGTGTATTTTCTCTGGTTTGATCTAATTTTTTGTTTTTCTCTCTTATTTTCTGAGTCAAATGCAGATCCCTCCTGTGTCAAGCAAGTCTTCAGGTAGTCTTGGTGTTGCCCATCCTTGTGGCACGATTTCTTTTCTTTTTTCTTAGCTTCATATGCTAATTGCACAGAAAGGGGAAAAAATGGAATTTTTAGGAGATAATTCTGATTATATACCGAAAATTTCTTACATATTTTGCATGCTTTACGTAATTTATTCCCAATAGTAGTCATTATTAAGTGGCCATTTTGCTGATCTTATTTACCATCCTACCAATAATGCCATGAAATCATTCTCATCTCTATAACTGTATAAATGAATAAACAGAGGCTTATCAATTCAAATAACCAGGGGCCACATGCAGGAGACATTGTAGACAGTTCTGGCCCAGGCATATGTGACTTCAAAGCAAGTGAGCTCTGTTCTGTACAGTGCAGTTTGCCATACTGTATACTAAATACTTAAAATGCTCTAACTTCCATTTTTAAGTACAAAGACTTTGCTTTTTCAGATTTTGATCAAATACATTTTTACATTTTAAAAATTAATGCAATTTGAGATTCATGAATTCATAAAAGGGTATCAAAATTGATGGATGAGATTATGTCTGAAGACACTTTCTCAATGTGCCTTGTACATGTGAATGACCTCTTCATGGAAAATAAAAAGGGACCATGATCTAGCCAGGACTTCCTTGAGTCAATTTTAGCATGTTCTTCCACAACCACTAAGACTTAGTATCTCTAACTTAAATATGATTATTTATTGAAAATTCTATCTTTATAGAGTGGTAGAAGAGTGTAGTTGTATTTTATGTTCCATAAGTTCCAAAAAGTCCTCTTTAAATAATTTCTGCTTTTCTGCTCACCATTTCTCTTGCACTCTTACCCTAGTTTTTTCTTATCCATTTGAATATCTCAAGGTTTACTTCAGCAATAATAACATTACTAGTATTAACAAAAATAAAATCTATGATTAGCATATTTAGGTCCTGTGTGTGGGGCTCATTATTTTACTTAATATTGATATCACTTATATGAGGTATTATAGTAACACCTATTGTGTAGAATAAGTTATTAAGAATAAGGCAAAATATAACTGGCCCCAAATAATTTTACAAACAAAAGGTTGAGAAGTGATTAGACTTAAGAAGAATGATCAGGCATTGACAATTTAATATATCTGTCTGTCAAAGACAATATAATTATGTATTGTTTTTGGAAGAAATTTAAAAGGGATTTAGAACATACTGGAAGAACTAATTAAAAACATTTGGGGGAGCTGAATCTGTGAATTGGGTTTTGTCTGTTCACACAAGCACATAATAGAAAATGCAAATGCAAAATCATGACACTCAGACTTAAATAAAATTAAGCTATTTTAATTGTTTATTTTGCCATTTCCTCTTTAATATTCTTGTTTATCTGAAATTTCTTTTTCAAAGTGTTTTTTATTTTAAAGAGAATAAAAAAAATAATAAAAACTATACAGGATTTCAGAACAAGATTATAGGAGTTAACAATGGTTGTTATATTGCATATTGTTATCTTCAGAGTAATTGTTCAGATTACCAGATGTCTTGGTTACTTTTCTCTCGTTGCTGAGACAAAATACCCAACGCCCAAAATGAAGGAAGGAAAGGTTTATTTAGCTTACAGTTTGTGGAGGTTTCAGTCCATACTTGCTTGGCTCCGAGGCAGAAGACAGCAAAGCAACAAGAGCAAAGCAGGGAATGGCAGCCGAACAGCAAACAGCCAGAGCAAAAGGGAGGAATGGCGGCAAGCAGCTTCTTTCCCTGCCTTACTTTGTAAACAGGCTACCCCCACCTAAGGGGCGTGTAGCTCTCTCATAATCTCCATGCCCTCCTCTTCCACAGGCTCAGGATGTATACAAAGTAAGCACCCTGGCTTCCTGCTGAGTCACTTAGCCAACCTCTAGATTCCCCAAGTTGACACAATGTATCAACCATAACACCAGATATAAACATGAAAAAATTATTCAAACAATTAAGCATTAACTGTTTATCTGCAATTTCACTTCTCACATTTTCTTTGTTTAAAATTGTTTTCAAGCAAGGTCTGGTTTAATGTGAAATTAATATAATCTTACATAGGTTCAATGTACAGTGTAGTTTATATGAACTACATAAAAGATAAAAACAGAAAAGAAAGAAAAAATTAGAAAATAAATACATGTAATTGATGAAAGTGAAATTTGAGTTCATCAGTATGAATTTAAGTCTAGAAAACATTGCTTTTATATTTGTTTGATTAGATCTGCTTGTCCAAGTTTAAAACACACACACGCACACATACACACAATTTCTTATAGCTCCATCTACTGAACATCCAAGAAAAATTCAGTATCACTTTAATGATTCATTTTCATAAAGTAGTCTTCAATTCTTTGAGTTTTAAGTGTGAGTGGAAAGAGAATGTTCTAGGGTAGACTGTAGAATAAAGACATGAGGAATTATCCAGGGAGACTTTTGAAATGGCCGGGGTTCATTCTGAAGAGCAGGGAGGCCTGTGGAGGTAAATAACTGGATAGTGTGGAAAAAATATAGGTAAGAGCAGTTATGAGTGAGATTCAACAAATTGGAATCCACAGAGTCAGAATTTGTGAAACTAAGGACAAGGAAATATATATTAAGTGAAAAAATTGTGCTGGACTAAATTTTTTGTGCATATGCAATTTAATAGGAAGTGTTGTGAGATAAACTTCTTACTTTTGTATACAACAGATAGTGTTAAATTCTAACTATGAATGTCACATAGATGAAATTGGTTGATGCTTGGTTAAATGGTTAACACTCTACTAGTCCAACTCAGGTACTGGATGGCTGTCTTATTTTTGTATTTAATCCATAAGAGTTATTAGAGAAAAATAGTTTTTAAAGACTTCAAAAGATGACACACACAATCACAAAATACAAGAGAAATTAAGATTCTATACTGTAGCCTTCATAATCAGCCTTAATTATTGTATAACAGCAGAAAATAATGGAAAACATGTGCCTCAGTCAGAATATGGTTAAATATAACCAGAGGTAAGCTTATTGTGCAATAACGAGAAACCATGTTTTGTCCTGTGCGCGTAATCATGGAGAGAAGTATAAATATCCTACTTTTTGTTGTTGCTACAAAAAGGGTCTGTGCTTTCTATATGGTGGGTAGGAAAAGGGCTCTAGACTAAGGAACACCAACAAAATGAATTCTTTTATCTACCCCAGACATATGAGTTCTGTTAATTCTGCTGCATCTGTCTTATGGATTACAATTACTTCTTATTTCTCCCAAGCCCCATAGCACACACAGCCCCCCATCCAATGCCATTGGACTAGGACACAGTTCTGTGAACAAGAAGATTCCGCAAGACTTGGCCTATGACAGAGGCCCCGAGGGTTCTGCTTTATGACACCCAAAGTGGAGAGAACCATTTGCCTCCCACACAACTTCTCTGATCGGCTGCCTTCAAGCTGCCAAGATGCCTATATCTAGTGTTCCATCAGCAATTTTTTCTCAAATGATAAATACTGGTAGTGTGCCTCCTCCTCCACTTCGCAGCATACCACGTGAGTGGAGCATATTTTGAGAATCTCGTTTGTCATTGTTTTCCACAGTAATTACCCCAGGTATAGGAAATAGAGCATTTGAGAGTTGGTAAGAACACTGAGAACCTTAGCAATAGCCTAGTGGAATGGAAAGAATACAGGTGTATAGAGCCTGCTTTGACTACTTGAGGCCATTTCAATTCTCTAGGTTTCAAATAATTTTATACTTTGTAAAATGAGGATCTTGATGAGCTCTTGGAGCCTCACATTGGATGAAATACTTTTAAAGAGAGAAAACAAAGGCTCAGAGATGTCACATGGCCAAGAAATATCTGTTTCTGACAGCTATTGTAGGCCTTACCTGGAGTTGGTGCTACTGCCTTTCCTAATGTGATTAATATTTAATTTTAAAAAAGAAAATTTTCTTTTTAAATTCAAAAGAAAAAAGAGAATTTCCATTATTCTGACAGTGAAATCTATTCTCTTTTTAATTTCTAGTATTTGACTTAAAATATCATAGGATTCAAGTTTAGGAATATTTAAAATATATGCAACTGACAGTGTTATTTTATGTAGTCTACCTAAACCCAGAGCATTTTCTCAAGACTATAAATACTTGTTATAGGCTCCTAATTCATGGAAATATTATTTGTTTTTTTTTTTTTTTTTGGTTTTTCTCCGGTACCGGGAACCGAACTCACGACCTTGCACTTGCCAGGCAGGCGTTTTGCCGCTGAGCTAAATCCCCAGCCCCTGGAAATATTATTTGGATATCAACATACTGACCAGTAATGTGCAATAGTCCCAGTTCTTTTTTCTTGTTTTTGTTTTTTTTTTCTGGTACTGGGGATCGAACTCATGACCTTGCGCTTGCCAGGCAGGCGCTGTGCTGCTGAGCTAAAGCCCCAGTCCAATAGTCCCTATGTTAATAGAGATTTAAAAATAATTTTAGATAACAAAGGTAATGTGACCCTTTCCAACTTCAATAAAGAATTAACTCCAGTTCCTTATTATTCATTGGGTTAATTTATGGTATTGATTTGAAGTAGCTAATCTGTTCATCCTCTTAGCTTCCTGTGGGAGTTAACTCTTCCAGAGTTTTAAAAATGTAATGTTTATAGTCTTCAGGGAAAAGATATTACAGGCAGCCACTGATATTTTTTTGAAAGGAGATATGCATATGTTTTACCTAGTTTTAGATTTAGTCCTTAACACGTTTATATTATCACTGTAAAAAATTACATATTTTTTCTATTTCTATGTGAATGGAAATAGTATTAAATATAATTTATCTAAAACCACAGCTTCTACTTTCAGGTTTTGTAACAGAAAAAAGTCACTCTAAGATAATTTCGTTTAGCAGCCCAGAAAGCTTAGTAGCTGGGAGTTAAAAGATCAAATTAATTTCGAATCAGTGGGATAAAATGTGTGCTACCCTCTGCAGTGTCTCCCAAGGACACTTAACTTCTGTGGAGTGATTAAAAGATGAAAAATCAGCAGCAATTTAGATCTCAGAACTGAATAGAGCATAATGGAAAGCAGCAGAGCTCCCGATTTTCTCTTTAGAGGTTCCCACTTGATGTTCCATGTCTGTGACTCCCCTTTAGAGACGTGTCTTGCTTGCCTAACAGCTGTGTCTTTGTGCTAACTCCAGCAAGTCAACAGTTCCCCTTCGTGTACTCTGATTGTCACTGCTGAAACAATGATCTTATGAAAGCTGCTATGTGGCAGATGCTTTCCATCTATAAAATGACTGAATCTATGTTATAAAGAAGGTATAAATAGGAATGTTTCCAAATACAATGGCCATAATTAGGAACATTCAGCTAAATACCTACAAAATCCAGTCATTCATTATGTCTACATATCATTGTTTACTTTGGGTTTGGCTGGTTATGTTAGATTTGGTGATGCATATCCACTTTTTTGGGGGTAGATACTCACATGTGAGTAACATTTATTGAGTGCTTCCTACAGACAGTGTGTAAGCATTCTGCATGTTGTGTCCTTGTGAAGTCTGTGGGAAGCAGAATAAGGGCTCCCATGGATGTTCATGTCCTGATTCCCGGAATTGTGGCTATTCTGGGAATCAGTGATAGACTGCAAGTGATAGACTGCAAGGGGGAATTGAAGATATGGATGGAATTAAGGCAGCTTAATGAGCTGATCTTGAGATGGGGAGGCCATCTTTGATTACCTAGTGCCCATGGTAGTCATAAGGGTCCTTATTACTGAAATAGGGAGGTAGGAGTCAGAGTCAGAATGCTGAGATGTGGGAAATTTGAGTGGCCATCACTGGCTCTGACCATGAAAGAAGACAGGAACCAAGCAAGAACTGAGGCACTGGGGCCTCCAGAAACTGGAAGAGGCATAGAGATGAGTTTTCTAATAGATCCTCCAGGAGGAATGCGGTATTGCTGGCTTGGTGTTAGCCCAGGGTCCTGTTTCTTCTGACTTCCCTAACTGTACAACAATGCACTTGTGCGATGTTTTTGAGCCAGTGGGTTTCTAGCAATTTGTTACAAGAACAGTTAAAAGCTAATAAAGGTCCACTTTACAGTTAAGGGTAATGACATGTAGCTTCACAAAGGAGTGGAGTGGCAGAATTTCCTAACTGTAAAATTCATGTAAATGAATTTTCTGTCCTCACAAACACTGAAAGGAAAAGCCAGCAGCATCCTTCTTTCCCTCTTACCCACTATCCTGATGTCCTTTCCCTATTTTCCTGGCTAATTAATGCTTAATACAGGCATGAATTGCATTTCATCATTTTGTGTACTTGGGTGCACTTATTTTAAGAGAAGCAGCATATCACACATCTTCCAACACTAATCCATAGTTGTCTCATTGGCTGCGACATTGGGACTCACAGACACATGAAGTAGTTCAGTTTCCTGAGATAGTTTGGTGCTTATAGTATTTTTTGTTTTTTCTCTTTTAGGTCTTCTCCTTTTATAGTCTCTTTGACTTGCCATTTTAGGGAAAGGCTGAAGGGGTTTTCAGAAGTAAAGGAGTAATGCCATTTTTTATTCTGGGTCAGGATTATTTCAAAAACTTATGGTTTCTACCATCCAATTTACTGTCTGGATAAATAGAACCTCGTTGAAGTACACACGTGACCCATTATTATTATAAGTGGGTGTCCTGAGAAGACAGAAAGAAGAAAAAGAATTTCTTTTTAATGATAATTGTTAGTGGGAGGTAGGAAGTTGTCTTTTACCATTGGCTTATGATTATGATCTAGTGATCTACTTTCTTTGTGTTAATATGCCACATTTCTATATTTTCATACTTCATAGGCTTATTCTCAGGAGTGAGTTTCACGTTTTTGACTGGTTGATCTGTGAGAAATTCATGTAATTTTCTAGTAACAAATGTTTTAATTTCAAAAGATGTTGTAGGTACATTGTACTTGTTCTAGCATATGAAGATATAGAAGAAAGTAGTGTTCAAGACCAGAGATACTTTAAGGAATCTAAAAACAACTTGGTACTGTTAAATGAAATTTTCCCTTTTTTCTTTTTTGCTCTTTTTTACTCAGAGTACATTTGCTGAAAGCCTAAAAACATTGTGCCATCATTTTTATGATTTCATGGGCATTTTCTGTAATTTGGAGATTTCTCAGTCCTTTAATATATAAAGATTAAAGGAGTTTCAAAATATGTTTTATTTGGACAAGTGAATATTGCCACATTTTAAAATTCTAAACCATTCAAATCCTAGGAGTCAGGTAAAGAAAAAGGCTTGTCTGTGGAGAACAAAAATAGATAAGTAGACTGGAATGTATGTGTCGTAGTTACTTTTCTCATTGCTGAGACAAAATACTTGACACTCAGAGATAAAGGAGGAAAGGTTTATTTAGCTCAGTTTGTAGAGGTTATAGTCCATAACTGCTGGCTCCAAAGCAGGGTGGTATCACAGAGGAGAAACAGTTCATGGTGGGCAGGAGGTAGGAAAGCAAGCAAGGGATTGCCACAGCTCTTTCTGTCCCTAACATGTTATCCAGGGTACTTAGGGGAGGTAGCACTCACACCCTTAATCCCAGTGCCCTTGATTTTAGCACTGCCATGAGTCAGTCCCAGTGTCACACATCCTAGATCCAGCCACAGCTGAAAAAGCCCCACCTATGACCACATGAGGCTTTGGGGGGACATCTAAACTTAAGCCATAATAATATAAAAGAACACAGTTTTAAAAAATTAAAAGGAATAATAATGAAGATTTCAAGAAGGAATACAATGTATAAAAGATAGTTGAATGTGTCTCTGTTCTTGTATAATCTATAGATGACTTAGAAAAATACACTGAGTGATTATTTTCTCTGCTTTAGTTTTCAGTGTTTTTGTTTTTAATACCAAAGAGAAAAGTTGGATGTTTCATTGGAAAAATAAAAGCAGAAAAACAAACATGCCTTCTTTTTTCTATCTACTATTATAACTATCTCAATGCATTTGTATTTTATGCCAGACAGTCTTGAATGACCTTTACAAATTAAATTTTGGTAATTTAAACTTAAACTCCAAGGTGCCTGAGGGGTCAGACTGAGACTAGGAAATGGTGAAGTAAATTGAAATGCACTGTAAATCTGACTGTCCACTAGATGTCAGACTAGGTCCCCTCCCCCCATAGACTGCTCTGTCCTCAGTCTATCTTTGAAATTACACCTCTGTTAGTCTCGCTACAGCATTATCAGCCTTTCAGCTATCTAAATCTATCTTCCATCACCTTTCACAGATCTGCTGTCTGATTTTCCTTCTAACAAGCATTGTGTACCAGGTTACTTGCTTGATAGAATGATAAACAAACAAATTTGGTCATATTAACTTTCCATCAGAAGCTGATAGGGTCCTCCTCTCCTCTAAATGTTAGATCACAATCTATTTTTCACATTTTGACATTTGAATCTTTTATTATTTGGGTAAAATCTATCAGTTGTGTCATAGATCTTACACTTTAATTAATATAATTGTCCACTATAGCTGAAATGTTTGGGTTGCTATTCCTTAAGCCCATCTACCAAT